TTATATTCATGTGTACTTTTTGACTTTTATCCTCATAAGAATCCAGGTCAAAAAGATTAAAGACCTAGCATTTTCATGGATGTCCCTGGTAGTTTTAATATTTTTAAGCTTATGATTCTATAATATGAATAATCTTAGATACTCTTCTAAACTAATTGTGATTGAAAGGAATTGTAATGACAGGCATATGAAAGAGCATCACCTCCTATCAGATGCAGATAGATATTCTTTTAGAATATATTCCTTGTCCTTCATACCACTGGAACATTTTTATGGAATTACTTTTTTTCTTCATTCATTCATCCTTTTTTCTCTCTTAATTGAAGATGAAGTTGGGATAGGAAACTTGCTTTTAAAAGAAGCAGAAAGACCAATGATTAAGTTATTTTTAGAGAGAATGTATGGCAGATCCATGGCTTTATATTTAATATTCTTTTTTAGTTATTCTCTGCTCAAGCTGAGGTAGAAAGCCAGTGATGGAGAGCTGTGGTGTTGCACTGGCTCCAAACATTATGTTATCAATGTGAAACTATATTTACTTCTAGGGATGTTCATTTTTTATTTGTAGTGAGGAAACTACCTGAGGCCAGAGAATATTTCTTCCTTCCAGGGAATATTTCTTGAAGCTCACACTGGGTAGCAGTAGTGCAGCAAAGAGTTAGAGCTAGTAAACAAGGAGATGAGACAGCATCATAAAAAGGTACATAATAATTCCAAAAGAAGTGAGAAAAAGAAGAACAAAGAACATATAGGACAAGTAGAGAATAAATAGTAGCCATATTGATAATAACATAAATCACATTAAAAGTAAATGGTTAACAGATTACAGTTAAACTATTTTTGTAAATGAAGGTGGTTTTTTGTTTTGTGGAACACAGTGGTGGTATCATTTTTTAATAGTCTGATAAAGGATATCTACAAAAAGCCTGATGGAAGAAGTAAAACTGTCTTTGTAGACAATATGTCCACATAGAAATCCTGTGGAATCCACAAAGATGCTATTAGAATATATAAGTGATTTAGCATGGTTGGTTGCACGAGGCAAGATTAACATACAAAACTCAATTGTATTTCTGTGTACTAGCAACAAACAATAGGAAATTGAAATAAAAATGTTATTTACAGCAGCATCAAAAAATAATGTAGATAAATTTGACAAAAGATGTTTAATACTTGTACATTGAAACTATAAATCGTTGAGAAAAATTAAAGACTTAAAAATGGACTATATTATGTTTATGGATTGGAAGACTCAATATTGTGAAGATGTCATTTCTCTCCAAATTGAACCCTAGATTCAACGCCATACAATTCCAGTGGGCATTTGATAGAAGTTGACAAGTTGACTTTTTTCTTTTCTTTTTTGAGACAGAGTCTCACTTTTTCACCCTTATTAGAGTGCTATGGTGTCACAGATCACAGCAACTTCAAACTCTTGGGCTCAAGTGATTCTTTTGCCTCAGCCTCCTGAGTACCTGTGACTACAGGTGCCCACCACAATACCTAGCTATTTTTGGAAACGGGGATCTTGCTCTTGCTCAGGCTGGTCTCAAACTCCTGAGTTCAAGCAATCCACTTGCCTCGGCCTCCTAGAGTGCTAGGGTTACAGCCACCATGCCTGGCCCCTGGGAAGTTCTAAGGATTCTGAAATTCTTAGGAAAAAACAAGGAACCTAGAATAGTTTAAACAAGTTTGAAAGATAAAATAATAAAATGAAAATTGTTGGAGGACTTAATTAATATCAACTTATTTTAAGACTTAAAAAAGTTATACTGATCTGCACAGTGTAATATTATTGTGAAGATTGGCAAATAGGTCAGTAGAATAGAATAGAATTCTGAGGTTGGGCACAATGGCTCATGCCTGCAGTACTAGCTACTTGGGAAATTGAGGCAGGACGCTCACTTGAGCCCAGCAGTTTGAGGTTGCAACAAGCTATGATGAGGCCCCTACGCTCCAGCCAGGGTGGCAAAGCAGGACCTTGTCCAGGGGAGTTATCCTGAAGTAGATGCCCATATAGGTGGTTAAGTACTTTTTGATGAAAGTATTAAGTTAGTTCACTAGAGAAAGTATAGTCTTTGCAACAGTCCTGAAACAATTGGATATCAATATGTAAAAAAATCTTCGATCTATATATAAAAGTTGGCTCAAAAGGGATCATATTCCTAAATATAAGAGCTAAAACTTACAGCCTGAATATTAAGTTTAAAAATTTAATAATAAGAAAGCAACCCAATATGAAAGATGGGTATAAGAGTTGGAGACATTTCGCCAAAAAAGATATAAGGAAGGCAAATAAGCACAAGAAAAGATACCCAGCCTTATTAATCTTCAGTGAAATTTGAATTAAAACCACAAGATACCACTGAAAACCTATAGGAATTGTGTAAATTTAAAAGACCATATTGAATGTTTGCAAGGTTGTCGAAGAACTGGAACTATGACGCATGCTGGTAGGAATATAAAATGGTATAGCCTACTCTTGAAAGCAGGCTAGCAGTTTTACAGAGTGTTAAACACAGGTCATTGGCCTTCTGTGTCCATGGATGTGAACACATGGATACAGAGGTCCAACTGTAATACTTCTATATAAGGGACTTAAACATTTGGGGATTTGTTATCTGAAGGAGAGTGAGGTCAGTAGTTCCAGCTATGTAGGAGGATCTCTTGAGCCCAGGGGTTTGAGGTTATAGTGGGCTATGATGATGCCACTGCATTCTAACTTGGGTGACAGTGCAAAACCCTGTCTTAAAAAATAAAAACAAAAAAACTCTTTGTGATTATGCAGAGATGTAAATTAGAATCACATTACTTCTCTGCTCAGATCTTTTCATGACTTTTGTTGCTCTTAGAATAAAATCTGAAATCCTGAGATCTGGTTCCTGTTTGCCTCTTGCTTGTTATATCCTAACCACAGGGACTACATTTAAGTTTTTGAAATCGCCAAGCTCTTTTTACTCCAGGATATGTTCACAGGTATTATAGTTGGACCTCTGTATCCATGGCATTTTTTGGACCCATCCTGGTTCCCCTCCATTCTTTCAATGGCTTCTTATTCCATTGCATGCTGCGAGTGTTAGCTTAATTAAATGCCTCTTCTTCAGAGAGGTTTCCTGACTTGCCCAACTGGCACCCATATCAATATCATGTAGATTTTCTTTATAGCTGTTGTTCAGGGTTTTTTAAAACAACTGTCTAAAAACAACTGTTTTGTTGTTTTTAGAATATATATGTATGAGAGATTATTTTTTTAATACCACTTTTCTTTAGTAGTCTAGAAAACTCCTTGAAATTAGGCCTATGTCTGTCTTATTTATTGCTGTGTAGCCTTTTACTGCTTTTCTTGGTATGACTGACAATATTTGTTAAATGAATATTTAGAGAAAATATATTAGAAGGAAATAGATCTGTGGTTGCCTTTGAATAGTGTATGCTTGGTTGTATAAGATTTCCACAAAGAGCCACAAAGTTGTAAGCAAAAGACCTCTCTATATTTTTGTCTATACTGTTGGACTATACCAGAGAGGAGAAAGCAGATGTTATTTGTGACTTTGGATTCTATTTCTTTATACTGGATAAAACAAAGCACCTTGATATATATTTACTTGCCTTTTAATATCTCTGAGTTGCACAGCTCTAGGGGGTACTGTTCACATGAATTGTTTATGGCCGGGAACTTCTGGATTAGTGTGAAGCAGAGGCTCTTCTTTTAGTACCATTTTTAGGTATAGTTTACCTGTAACTGTGTTTATACTTCTCTCCTGGACCTGCCTACAATTTTATATGTCACCTTGTGCTCATTATCTTAGAAAGTCTGTCTGTATTTCTGTTTTTGTCATGTTTTTAAATAGGTTATCCTTATTTGGAGTATATTGTAGCCTTCCTTCCTTCCTTCCTTCTTCCTTCCCTCCCTCTCTTTCTGTCTCTCTTTCCATTCTCCTTCCTTTCTCTTCCATTCCCTCTCTTTCCTCCCTTCCAACCCTCTTTCTGACCCTCCCTCCCTTCGTTTCTTTTTTGGCATTGTTTAGCATACTTTTGAACAGTATTAACTTAAGGAGAAATTTAATATTTTCTGAACTCTCAGTATTTATCTACAACAACACTGAGGTTGTACATATGATGAAAATCCTCTAAATCCTTTTCAGTTTTTTTTTTTTTTTT